GTTCATCAGCTGAGCTTAAAGAGCTTTGTTAACACTTGCCCAAGCTAGGCAAAGGCTGAGGGTCAGAGAAAGGTCTCCCTGTGGGCATGGCTGAGAAGAAGCTGTCCTGACTGAAGAACTGAACTGTATCTTGAGTCTTTTCTGAACCTGTTACTTCCTTAATAAATCCATAATCGTGGAGGTGGGGGAGAATCGGCTAGGAAAAACCTTGAGTATCAGTGAAACACTGCTGATATATCACTGGAAAACTTTATGAATATCCCTGAACACTGTCTGATATAGTACTGGAAGATGAACCCCTGAGGTTGGAAGGCACTCAAAATACGACTGGAGAAGAGATGCCTCCTGAAGGTAGAGTTGACCTTAAAGATGTGCATGGAATAAAGCTGTTGGGACCTCCATTTGCTGATGTGGCATGACTCAAAATGGGAAGAAAGAACTGCAAACATCCATTAATAATCAGAACATGGAATGCGTGAAATATGCATCTGGGAAAACTGGAAGTTGTCCAAAATGAAATGGAATGCATAAAGATCGATATCCTAGGCATTAGTGAGCTGAAATGGACTGGTAATGACCATTTTGAATCAATCATATGATCTACTATGGCAGGAATGACAAATGGAAGAGGAATGGCTTTGCACTCATCATCGAAAAGAACATTCCAATATCTATCCTGAAGTACAACGCTGTCAGTGATAGGATAGTATCTATATGCATAAAATGAAGACCAGTTAATACACTTAACATAACTGTTACTCAAATTTAGGCACCCACCACCAAAGCAAAAGATGAAGAAATTGAAGATTTTTACTAACTTCTGTAATTGGAAATTAACCAAACATGCAATCTAGATGTATTGATAATTACTGGTGATTAGAATGCAAAATATGGAAACAAAAAAGCAGCATTAGTAGTTGGAAAATATGGCATTGATGATGCAAATAATGCCAGAGATCACATGATAGAATTTTGCAAGACCAATGACTCATTCATTGCAAATACCTTTCTTCAACAACATAAACTACGACTATA